CGAAAAGCAATACTTCCATTGGTCGAATCTCCTAGAGAGCATCTTCAATGTGCATTTAAAATTTTCAGACGGCAGTGGTTTAATTACGCAACGTCTGAACAACGTTGCTCGCTTTTCTTCAGGAAAAACAAGGTAAAAGAGTTGAAAATGGATAATAAATATAGGGTTGGAACTTTTCCTTTTTATATATTTTTTCCCCACGGAAATTAGCAAAGGAATAACTTATAGACCGCTATGCCGATTGAAATTAGTGTTTTCAAGCCCTTTTCCAAACAAGAAAGAAAATTCTTTGGAAAATTGGGTGGTTACATTATTGAGAAAATTAAGGCAAAGGTGACAAGTGACACGAGGAATCTGGAATTCTGAGCTTGTACTCGTATATCTCATCCACCAGCCTCTTTCTTTCTTTTTCCTCTCTTCCACAGATGAGTTGGGGGAAAAAAAAAAAACAAACCGTCAAGTCCTAAAACTGATGTTGCCTTATTTTGCTCCCTCTCAACTGCATACTTTCCATGAAATCGACATTCGTTAAATTAAATTTTAAAATGTTTCAATCCTAATATAGAAGTGGGTAACACAATCTACTGTGATACATCACCGCTTTTTGGTCTAATTCTCAGAGTTTGGCTTAACGCGACCATCTCAAAACGCTCGCCAGCATGTCGTCATAAAAGTTGAATAACATTAGTTATCAGAGTATTACATTTATCAATATTTTACAATTACTGCTCTTGCTTCCAGATGAAATTCAATGATAGACTGAACCTCTTTCTCGATATCCATGGGCTTTGCCACTTCACATCGACTCTTAAGTAGGGCTGTCCTGATGCATCCATCGATGAATGGATGTCATCTTCCATGGTTGGTTGTATGGGTGATATGGTTGACGGATAGCATGGTTGGTTTCATTACTCTTTGCGAAGGTCACACCTTCCCCTTGCACCCCGGATCACAAGCGTGAGATAATAAAAGCCGGATAGAGGTCCGCGCTCCAATCGCGGCGATATTTTTTATAACATGAACCCAAACCAACCATGCTATCCGTCAACCATATCACCCATACAACCAACCATGGAAGATGACATCCATTCATCGATGGATGCATCAGGACAGCCCTAATTTTCTTCGTTCTACACTGTCTTTGGACATCGGCGCCGGCAGATAGGAAACCTGCCGATGGTGCCAAACTGGCGGTTGCCAAAACATCGGTACAGCCCTCGAATAAGCAACGTCCACATTCACTTCGATTTCACCTTAGGTAGAAAAACGCCCCAAGTATAAAACGCCCTAAGGCAAGTTAAAAATTAAGAAAGTTAAGCCTGCATACTAAAGTGATAAAGTGATATAGAGAGGGGATTAACCAATGTCCGTTTCGAAATCAAGGGAGTATAAGAACAGTCCACTTCCGCAGCATGCACCTCAAGAGATTGAGCCGGAGACTGAAACTGACGTTAAAAAAATAATATTCTTGGGAAGTTCCCAGCCTTAAGCAATGCACTGGTTCGAAAAAGCCTGCTGAATAAGATTCCTGGACGAGGCAGTTCCAAACGAGATCTTTTTGGTAGTTGTGTGAAGATCCCTTGAAATGCTTTCCATGATCTCTCCTGGAATGCTCGTGAGACTGACCGGCCTGTAATTTTCCGGTTGGCTTTCGCCCCCTTCATTAAAATTGCTCAGACATTCGCTAGTTTTCCATTCCTTCGCACTTGACGAAGGGAGGGGGGAGGATCTATCTAAAGTGAGTGCGTGGTCGGTTTGGGTTCATGTTATAAAAAATAAGATTGTCAGGTTGGAGTTCGAACTTGATTTGGGTATGAAAATTGGCAACAAAAAAAAAGAGTTCGGGTTCTGTTCCATTTCCCTACAATTGGGTTCTTATTCCGTCCCATATCACTGTACTGTAATTAGGATTGGGTTCGCCTGAAAGAGGGCCATAGCTTCGACTCGCAACCGCTGAAACATTAATGAGCTCAAAGCAAACTGCGCCATTGCGCACATTGGTGCAACGCATTGCATTGCGACTTATTTATGGCGAAAATTTGTGAATTGACTTCTCAACTGTATAGAATTACTATTTTTTCTCAATCTCAGCAGAACTTAATTTGAGCTGGAGTACCTCGAGATAGTACCGGAGCTCAGCATTGTGCAATTGGTGGCATCATATTGCATACCACTAATTGTACCGTTCGCACGATGCAAGGTTCAGTTCGTAATCGCCCATTTATGCAGTTCGCGTTCTATAATGATTCGCTTGTTTTCAGGTTTGTTCATCTCTGGTGGGCACTAAGAATGTGAGGTACTCGGAAAACTTAAAACCATAGCATTTTGAGAAAACCTTCCCCTCTCTTTTCCGGGGAAAGGTGATAAAAAGAGAGGGCAAGATCGATGCCCTGAGAGTGCCTCGGCCGACGCTGCAGGGAGCGATCCCCACCTGCCGGGGGCCGGAAACCGAGGCACACCTAAGATCGAGAAGTCGGGGAGTTTTTTCAGCGCGCAATTGTTTCTCTTCGTGCGCCTGGTACGAAAAAAGGTATACAACAAAAAAAATCGTATCGACCAGCCAGCTCGCTGCTCACGAGGAATTGGAGACGCGTTAACTCAATGACCCCTTGTTCCTCCCAGGGATCATGATTTGATCCTTTTCCCTAGCTCTGAAATATCGTGGAGTTTGAATCTGTCCCCGCCTTAGCAGAGAGCTGATACCGACGTATCTTTCTAATGGTATTGGTGCCACTGGAATAGCTGTGGTCCTTTGATTCGATACATTTAATATTTCGGTACCGCTGCGCGCGATTACATTTCGGTTCCAGGACTTGAACTTGCGAAAGCCTCGGTGTTTCGGTACTGCACAGCCCTACCTTCTCCCGAAATAAGCTGTTTTTGAAAATTATTCTTAATGGCGCCGCCTGCGCTTCCCATCCAGCTTCACCTCCTCTTTATATATATAATTGCCTACGTTTGTCCTCAGTCTCTGTCCGCCAGAGGTCTGCGCGGGTCTCAGTTTCTGTACCCGATCCGATCGGGTCAATTAGAATCGTGGTCCGCATCCTACTCGGAACTGGATCGCTTTGTGGGCTCGAGCGTATCGTATCGGGCATACCGGGCCGGCCCGCAGTCCGCATAAGCCTCTAAGCTTGAGTACTCGAGGTGTGTCATTGCTATTCCCTCATACCTGACGGGAAACTTAATTGGCAACGGATCTGCATGCCCGATCCGCATCCCTTGCAGAGTTCAAGATCATCCTTTATACATCATCCGATACCCGGGCGTTCGAAATTCAAACGACGTCTCGCTTGAATTCCACAAGGAACTCGCTGAAAATTTGCATAAAGGTAATTGGGGGTTCCCTGATGATAGAGCGCATCCCTATTGTCGACCCAAAAGCTTGGCTGTTCGAAAGTTGTGGTTCCTGAATGCTAGGAGATAGAACTCAGACAATCGCTTCAATGGGGAATTTGGGGCCTTTAATGACTGGAACCGACCTACGTTTTCCATCTGATACCTAGCGGTTCCAAATTCGTGCGGTGTCTCGAAATTGAATATCAAGGGACAGAACTCCCTGAGAATTGCCATATGGGGATGTAGAGGGGAGGGAAATGACGGGACGCACCCTATATTATTGATCCGAAATACCGCTATTCTAAATTTCACTCATTTTTCTCATTGAATGCCATGGGACGGATGTCAAATAGTCTCCATTAGGAAAACGTGAATATTTCAAGGATAACAGCTAGTTGATAGTGAATTCGAGAAACGTGTCTGTGACCATAGCTTCCACGAATTCATTCGTAAAAACGGAAGCAAAGAAATCATCCTTATACCACGGAATACTCGGATATTCACCATCCTTAATACTATCAGGTCTCGATGGAATGTTGACTCGTATTGCTGACTTATTTCATCAATAAGTCTTGGTAGTAGTCTCAAAGACTCAACATCCTGTAACACTGACTCAATGTTCCGTTTCAATGACCGCTCAGAGATCCGATATTCCTTGCATAGGTGGGAACGTGAACAAGGGCTGGAGTCGTAGGGATCCTCCTCCCACTTACTACGTCCATTAGTAACGCAAGTTGCCATGTTTCTTTCAACAAATACCAACTTCAGCACGCATATTTAAACAAATTCTGGAGCTGATGTGTGGATATGCTGAAAAATAAGAGTAATGGCATAAGAGCACCTCCTGGAAAGTAACTCTTATGCATTAAATGCTATCATGAGTATTCTTTGCGTTAACGTGCGATGGAAACAAAAGTAGCATTCCACAAGGTTCAGGGGCCTATTCCTCACCTCATCACTTTTAGATTAGATTAAGTTCAGATTTAAAAAAAAAGTTTCAACCTAAATTTAATCTAAACATGGTCTGATAGGATTTCAAAGGCAACCAAGGGAACCTCCTGTTCCTGTTCGAAATTAACGCACGTGTACATAGGGTAATGAGAAGGGACCGGTGGGGACAAAACCGGAATTTCCCATCAGAACGGAATGACATTTGTATGAAATTATCTTGGACCACCATATGGCATCGAACAGAGTTCTCTCCTACCATCCCAACATCTAGATCGGGTTGGACCTGTCTAAAAATGTTCCTCCTTTTAAACGAAGTTTTAGTCTGGGGGAAGAGGCTTTTTGCTTTTAGACTTAGATCTAGATTAAGTTTAGCAGAGGTGAGAAACAGACCCCAGAAGACAGGAAACATCTATGATTCCCTCTTTTTTTTTCAGACATCAAATCTGTCACTTTTGCTTTGACACAATGGTGAATAGGAATGAAATTTCTTGGTTTTTCTCCATGTGGTCTGTACTATTTTTTTAAGATGAACACTCTCTACCCCTTTACCTTTTTTTTTGCAGCAGAGGCAAGAAATCTAAATGCTCACTGCTAACTGCCCAGTTATTCAGGGTTAGCTCTGATTTTCGAAAGATGTGCCATGCAAGTTGTTGAGTAGTACTTAACATGAACCTTGCAATTCAATATAACTAAATGAGAACACAGTGAAATAAGGCCAGATGAAATTCCCACAATGAGTTCGTATATTTCTTGGAAATTTCTTGGAGTTCAACGGTTGGATTTAGCAACACGTTCCAGCTCATCTTTCTTCTTGATAGCATATGAGTTGGATGAGCCCTTGGCTGCATTGATCAGCTCATCAGCCAGACATTCAGCAATGGTTTTGATGTTGCGGAACGCAGATTCTCTTGCTCCAGTACACAAAAGCCACATTGCCTAAAATGGAATATTGCACACATCAGACAGGAACTCATGGTCTTTGTTTCCAGCACATTTCATGTTCTATCATACTGTAGTTTATCTGCAAAATATTACATAGCCCATGGAACTATCTCAGTTAATATCAGGGCTTTACAGAGGGTGGAAACAATGCTTATGCAAAGCTGGGCAGAAGTCAAACATAAAAAGACATGGTTTAATTCTCATGAACATGCTTAACTCATGGTCACATTTTTAGATCAAACACCTTGATCCTCCACAAAATTGAAATGTCTCATGTGAGTTCATACTGTTGGACAAGCATGTCACTAGTGATATTTGCCTTTGTCCACTGATTCCTGTGATAAGCTCTGATAGCAGATATGGGCAAGTGATGTGCACAGTAGATTTCAAAGGTTGGCAATTTTCAACAAGGTCATGCCTGGGTGCCTTCCACAAGCCCCAGACACATCTTATTTTCCCCAGGAACACTTGAAATCCACTATGCACACTGTGAATACATGTAAACTAGCAGAGCTCATCAGTCATTTGCAAAGAATGCTCTAATATCATCAGTGACATGCTTACTAACACCATGCAATGATTTGAGGACTGAATGAGGCACTGTGATACTGTGTAGGGTCAACAAATTTAACATTTAACCCTTTGATTAGTGAGCTATTTCCTTCACTACTGTCACTGTCAATGCCACTGATGGTATGACAATCTTGAAAATTAACATAGCTCCATGGGGAGTACAACATGTAGCAAAAATATGGAAACTGATATTCATGGAATTTGTCCCAGGGAGGTAATCTGTTTTACACAAACATATACAGGAATACCAATCAAAGGGTTAAGGAAATACAATCACGAGTAAACCATGTTCATATGAAGAACCATGTCTTCCTATTCTTGGTGACTTCTGCCTAATCCTATAATTTCTGAAGTCTGCCTTTAATCGAGACATTGGGCTATAACGAAATTGTTTGCTGCAGATCCAATCTTAAACCAAACAACAAAGAGATTGAAACACTTTAAAGAGCAAAAATGCAATTGGACATCCTAGATTTCAAAGTTCTTTGGAGGATAAAATAAAGAACTCTCTCTAGGGTGCAACATAAATTAACAAATATACATAAATAACTAATTTATTTTGTGCTTGCCAACATTTACATGACACATTTTGATTCATAAGAGTCAATTCAGGAAAATGTATCCCTCTGGAAAAACTTGGCCCTAGGCCTACCTGATTCACTCGGCGCAAGGGAGACACATCAACAGCCTGCCTGCGCACTGTTCCTGCACGACCAATGCGAGTGGAGTCTTCTCTTGGTCCTGAGTTGATGATGGCATTAACCAAAACTTGGAGAGGGTTCTGAAAATAGAAAAATGTAACTCAAGCTGAGCACTAGAACTTCTTTTAATGCAATATCAACACATTCTCAGAAGAGAACATGCAAACCACCCTCCCACTCAGTGCTCACAACCTCACCTCTCCAGTAAGCAGGTGAATGATCTCAAAAGCATGCTTCACAATCCGCACTGCCATCAGCTTCTTTCCATTGTTGCGACCATGCATCATGAGGCTGTTGACAAGTCGTTCAACCACAGGACACTGTGCTTTCCTAAACCTTTTGGCTGCATAACGCCCAGCTGAATGAGGCAAATACCTGGCAAACTTCTTCACAGCAATGTAGTCCTGAAATGAGTACAAAATAAATAATGTTAAACTTGAAAAGTCCTAAAAGAACCTTAAAGTACTTACCATGCTATCTTGACCATTCATATAATGTTGTCACTTTCTTCCATTTAAAAGCTAACCCCCTTCAGCTGTTTTTCAAAATGTAAATGAGGCCAGAAGAATTACAAACCAAGCAGGCAGGATGGTGTGATTGGGCTGGATTGAGTTAACCTTAAAGCACAATTTTTTTATTTTTTTGGCTAAAAAAATCTGGTAGGTTTTACTAAGGTCTTAGAATATGGGAATTTTTTTTTTTTGGAATGTAGCACATCTACTACATCATGCATTAAAGGGTTAAACATGAATTTCTCCTAATGCATGATCTGCTTCTTCTAGCTTAACTGGCCAAGATGTACTTCAATTCAAATTGGATTGCTCATTTGTACACTATTTTTTATCATGGGTCAGACCCAGATACTCATGCATGTGTGTTCATGTCAAGTGAAAAATGATTTGATTTCAGGCATGGAACCTCATTTCTAAATTACCATAAATCCAGGAATAATGTAAACAAAACTATACTTATGCTAATGGCTTACAGTAAGAGACATGTCCGAAACTTGGACATCATCTGTGCTCCACTTCCCAAAGAGTTTGATCTCAGGAAGTTCAGCAGCTACAGCAGGAGGTGCTGACACAGCATCTCCACCTCCTTCCCCCCAATCTTCAGTATCATCTGCCATGATTCTTCAACAGTTATTTCTCAACGGTCAGCACAAGGTCTAGGCTGCCAGGGTACACCTGAAAAAGAAATGAGAGAAAGCCTATAACCATGAATTCATGACCAGTGTCAGAATACTTACAATCCATGCCTAGTTCACAAAGTCCCATTAAAGTGGTCTGACACCAAAGCCTTCATCAATGGCAATTTTATGACAGGCCTTCATAGCCCTATCATATGTACTAATTGGAAGTGGTAGTTCTATCTTTGCCTAACTGTTGGGCATGTGGTGTTCACACCTATCTGTCAGCACAAATGTCTTACTTGGCAGATACATTAACACACTTTCAGGGGAATGCCTTCAGCTAAAATCCCAGTGTCCAAATCTGCATTCCACCCATGCCATATTTTGAGCAAATCAAGCACAATACTCCATGGTGCATATTTTTGTTGCTGAGAAATGGATCATTTTAGCAATGCAGTCCAACAACTCAAGCTGTTTTTTTTTTTTTTTTTACTTCATTAGTCCAAGGAGTCAAAACTTTTTGAAAAGCTGGAAATGCTACCAAGAGATTAGTGATTATTAAAATACTTAACAATTAACGGATCTCAAAAAAAGGACAAACTAAATTTATGCAACTAACTTCCCACAAACCTACTTTAAAAGACTACAGAATTTCATATTTTGTCCTGTGCACAAGACATCTATTCACAAACTGAACTAGAATCTTGGTGGAGGTTGAAAGAGATTTCAAGATAATGGTTTGCATCAATCACTCATTTATGGTGAGGAAAAGTTATTTAAATATACCAATGAGCCAAGTTTAAGGAAATGAATAAGATGTCCATCAAACCTACAGGCAAAAAAACCTCTGAGGGTTTATTGGATCAAGCCCAAAACTGCAACCATGACATTAAGTTTCAATATTACTTGAAAGACCACACTTCCACATTGCCACAGCTAACAAAGCAGTTCAGCCTTTTGGCAACCTTCAGCTGAAACCAACAGTCCTGTCTGACAGAAGCACCATTTTCTGGTCTGTTGAGTTACATTTTCCCTATAACAACAACAGGGCTTTCACTACTTTTAACAAGTTATGAGCAATGTAATGTGAATCAATCCAGCTTCCATTTCTGAGTGACCCTAGATGCATGCACCTGAAGGTCCCATAAGCCTGTACTATTTTACATTAAAAAATTCTGGCAGCATATAGGGTCATATTCCACTACATCCAATGGACATGAAAAGCTTCCATTAGCTGTTGTAGCGTCTATGTTCTTGCAGACTGGCCCAGATGTATGTAGGGCCGGGTCTTCTTACCCTCAATGAAAGGGTTTAGCAATTCCAATATCATGCCAAAATATAAAAAGTCTAAAGAGCAGATCTATACTGAGTTTTTATGACCCTTGACTGAAACTGGTTAACTTACTTCCCACCCATCTGTGGCTTCAGCCAGCAGTTACAAGTTATTATCAGGTCATGATATACTTGGTTATTAGCACTAGGAGCATAACATTTGTCAGTTGCTATGGAATTAGAAACACTTTCAAAGGATACTGGTAGGAATAAAACAAAAATTTGAATTTACTTGTTGCTACTTCAGGTTAGGTAACATGAAACTGTAGTAGACCTAAGGACCTATATGCATATCATATTGCAATCTTTCTCAAGTGTATAGCTGTAACTAAGCAGACTGTGTTTTGAAATAGAAGTGTCCAGGTTACAGGTTTATTCCTCATCTTGGGCAAACCCATTCTTTTTCTTACTCTTAGTAGTTGTTGGCACATTAAAGGTACTGTTTAACATTAAATAACAATATACAGCATCCTGAAGAGCAGAGGATGGAAAAAATGAGAATATGCTATTAATTCAGAAGTATGTGCTGAGGGATAAGGGATATGGAATATGATGGAGCTTTCATTCTAAAAGTGAAATCAGCTACAGTATTCCCTCATAACACAACTAACATTAGGCCTAACAAAATAGTCAGGGCAAGCCAGGCTAGAAGTGGGTCTCGGTATTCCTTCGTCTTGTGCACACTGTCAAATCCTGTGAACACCGCACATAAACCTCAACTTCGTTATGTGCACACTATTTCCCGATAGGGACAGACTCTCCATTCCCACGTTCAACGCGGAACGCGCTGCCCTACGTAACGGCGAGTAGGATAAACGCCCAGTAGACCTTGTCGCCCACGCGTAGAAGAAATACCATTGCCTTTTCCCTTCCAATCAGGCATTGGTATGCCTCAGATGTATGCGAACTTCAACTTCGGTATGCCCGAATGTCTAGCCTGGAAAACTTCCTCAAAGAAAGCCCTCCGGAGAGCTAAGATTCAGCGTGTCTACATGTACCTGCTCGCCGTTACGTCGGGCAGCGCGTTCCGCTTGGGAGTCTGAGAGAACAGCACTCCTAAAGTGACGGTCGTAGGTTGTAGTATGCGCACGTACGACACCCACAACTGACTCACCTCTAGCAGTGTGGATGATTGGTGTGCACGGTACAAAACAAGGTGTGCACAAGACGAAGTTTGTGCAAACTAGGTGTGCACAAGACGAAGGAATACCGTGGGTCTCTTTCTGACTGGTGAAAACAGTATGTGGCAAGTAAGTTGAGAGATAGGAACAGGGAGTACTACATACAACACAGGTGGATATGGCTTTGCCAAGGTTCAGCTAGCAACCCTGTCTAAACTGTCAAGCCTACAACTCCCTCTATCACAATTTGTCCACAACCTCAGCTCTGAAAATTCCTCCCAACTTCCCACCAGCCAAGCAACATTTTCCCTTAGCCATTGTCCTCCTGACCAACAAAAAAAACACAGTTCTTGCAGAGATAGACCAAGGTGAACTCGCATGAGGGAGGAAGCAGTAGTACATGGTTCTATGCTTAATTTTCATTAACCAAGCTACTTCCCTTTCACTTCCCAACCAAAAAATGTCCTTGCTGCTGGTGAGGGAACTTTACAGGTCCACACTAGCTACAATAACTAACGTTAGAAGGGAACTGGCAGTTCTGGTTGGAAATAAGGCACCCCCAACCCCATTCCAGGTTAGGCATTACATATATACCTTCAAGTCACGATCCAGGCATACTGACTGCTGCTTATGCCCCCCCCCCCCCCCCTCGACCCAGCAGTCATCACACAGTCTCTAGCGATTCTCTCATATTTTCTTCCATTTTTTCCACAAGCCGTAATACTTTATGTCCAACATAAAACTGTTAACTACATACAGGCGTGCTACTGAATTAAGTTTTGCTCAGCTGTTTTATTCGCGTTCGACACTTTCTCATCACCCCCGTGCATAAAGTTACACGAGTCGTTGCAATTGGAAAAAAATCTGCACTAGGCCTAACGTTAAGGCTGCAACGATGAGATGAAGCTTCAAGCTCAGACCAAGAGACCACACGTCAAAATCACGAACGAAATAAGACCTCAAAAATATATATCGTATCCTTGGAGGCCCATCGGCCAAACATCTTACAAGAATCGGGCCTCACCCGGAGAAACGATGAGCAGGAAAGGCACCACCTTGGCGTGAAGCGGCGGCCATTCACAAGGAAGAGACGGAGCATACGATCCCTCTGCCATCTATAGTATCACACTCCAGGCTGGAGGTTACGTACTCTCGCCAGCAGTCTTTTCTGATTTCCAAGATCCCCAACATCAACATGTATTTCGTACAGTTTCTGGGGGGAAAAAAAAGTTCACCTTCCCGAACTGCTGATCTGGAATGTTTTAAAATAAAAGACTCATCCGGAAGATTTCATCGTGAGCGCTTTCCAAAGAGTTCAGGGATTTTAGCCTAGAGGGAGAAAGTGTCATGAACGTATTCAAGCACTCTCAGATCTTTTTGTTTTCGTGTGGTTAAAATCACTTCGGCATATCATTTTTTAAATGAAATAGATATAGCGCTCACGAAAATTGGCTTTAATAGTGCATTAGTCACTAAATTTCAGCTGAAAAACTTCCGAGTGTTGGTATTATATATATATTTTTAAATATGTCGGTTTGCTCGTATTCGAGTTGACGCAAAAATAAATATATTCCACCTTCACCAGAATCAAGTGAAGTGCAAGTAGACGTACCTAAGTTTGATGGTAATCCTTTTGATGTTCAACAATCCCGGGTCGATGCTGCCTGAGAACAAGCGCTGAGAAGTACTCACCCTTGTCAACAAGCAGCTCAATAAAAAGAACTATCTGACCAAATTCGGTAAGTGACTTATTGCTCGCATGATGATCGTGGGCAAATTATAAATGCAAGTCCTCAGTTAATGCTAGCAGTACTGAAAAGCATGTTGAGCGAATTATTGGACACATCTGAACAAGTGCGGTACATACCTTTCACCCTTAGTCTGCACCAAAATTTAAAAGTTTACCAACAAGGTTTCTCCAATAGTCAACAGTTTTAAGCTTTATCTCAGCAACGGCACACTTTTAGGTCAAGCGAGATATTGTCGGCACCTCCTGCACATCCACGGACCTCCATGCACGGTAACAGACAGAGATAAAATTAGGTAAACCAGTACTTCTGAATCCATCCATGAAAGTTTTATGTTGAATTGTCGCTTAGCACAGAGGTTCCTAATCTTTTTTTATTTGCGGTACACATAAGGACACTTGAACTTTCCACGGCACGTCCAGCCATTTACTTACTTTCAATGGGAAACTTGTGCTTGCTTCGCTGAACAACAGCAGTTTGATACGAGGCGTGGTAGTGCAACCCTCAGCTCGTTTTTCACGAGAGATGGCGTTCTCTCTTGTTTTCAAGTTGTTTTAGTTTTTAGTTTTAGTTTTAGATTAGTAATAGTTTTTTTGTTTTTTGTCAAATTTCACGGCACACCCAAGCCTTACTGGCGGCAAACCAGTGTGCCGCCGCACACCGTTTTGGAAACACTGGCTTAGCAAGACCAACATTTTGAGAATGTCAATTCAAATCCTATTTTTCCACATTTCAATCCTACATGTATGCTATCTCGAAAACTAATGAGGCTTCATTGATGATTGTTGGGTGGTAGCATTTGGTCTACTGTGACCAGTCCTCCACAACCTTGCTTTAAGGATGTTTTCATAAAATGTTTCCTTTCAATCACTCGTCGACAAGGGAATGTCATAGGACATTCTGGCTCGTCAGTCTTCTGATCGAACGACCTTTCATCACAAATCATCAGGCTTCGATGGTCTTTTTGAGCAAGAGATCCGGGGTTCCCGCTGTTCAAAATATTAATAACAGGATGTTTGATAAGGAACTCAGCACATATGTGGATCACAAGCCCTTGGCGCCATTTCATAATGCGAAAGCTTCGCTATACACGACACTATCTCTCTTGTGTCGTTCAATGGTGCGCAATTAACATGTCACATTTTCTAGCTAATATTCGTCAGTTGGCTCGTTGGTCTAGGGGTATGATTCTCGCTTAGGGTGCGAGAGGTCCCGGGTTCAATTCCCGGACGAGCCCGTGTTTTGCAGAGTAAGCATGTCCATGTAATCTTTTTTAATTTTGGGCGATATAAATACGATATGAAAACGGCGAAAGCTGGTGCCGTGCATGTACTAAATGGTAAGCATCTACGTGCGCCGGGGGAACCTAGAGGTGCCCCCTCCCAGATGTTGACAAAGGTGTTGTGATCGTATTTTTCTTTTGGCCTACCACCAAATGAGGCAAGAAGCCCAGGAGGCTGCAATGCTCCTTTCCTCGTGCAATCGAGGAGCACCTTGGAAGGTGTAGGCAGCATAGTGTTCCGACAAAACCGTTTTCAAAGTATCGCACTACAAACTACAGCATACGCCATAAATGAAACTGTGTACCAAGAATACACAATACGTGTCAGTTTTGATGAAAACCCACTCATTGCGTTTTCCTGTAGTACAATAGTACAATTTCATTGAAAGTTCTATGAAAAAGGAATTTCAAGATTAATATTGTTGCTGCAATGATCATGATTACTTTTGTCAAGTATTACCAACTTCTCAGATATTGATTCATGAAAAAATATGTTCTTATGAGCAATACAAAAGACCTGTGTGGGTTCACCTCAATTATTGAGCCATTGCTTCAAGTTCTGCGCAGCCAGTGGCAGACGCAAGTATCCCATCAAAGTGAAATCGGCAAAAAAAAATGAAAAAATTGAGTTGATCTAATTGAAGTTATTCTCTTGGAAAGAGGCTGCCAGGAATATACCTTTCATGAAGGAATTGAAAGGGCGTTCTTTTCCCTCATTTCTAGTTATCGCGTTAGTGGATGTACGACGGGACCGCCTACACCTCGCCGAAACAGCACGTGCGCTTTCCTTAGGAAAGCCGTGAGAACCTCCACCCTAGACGGACGAGCTGGTGGATGCAGTCACTCGTGAGGCTGTTACGCAGAATGCCTCGACAGGAATTCCATGACTTATCGGGCATTTTCGATATCACATCATCCAGTTCGTTGGTCTCGCGGTTTTCTCGTTTTTTTTTTGCGAGAGGATCTAGGTTCAGCTCCTGTAGGAGCCCTGAAATGTCCTTGCAAATGTTCTTTTTCAAATTCTTTTCCATGTATGTATGGGAAAGTTTAGAGTACTTGCATAAATTCGCGGTTATTCCTGTACAAAGTTTCAATAGAGGCATTCTGCAGAACACGTTCACCTCGGCTTTCGATCTCTTAGATAGCACAAGGAAGAATGCATTGTTATCGGGCTCTCTACTAAATTTTCTTTGTCTCGCCAGCGAACATTACTCATGCAAGCGAATTCATTACTTACTGTGACAAGTATAAAAGAAAAAGACTCTATTAGGGCTCGTCCGGGAATTGAACCCGGGACCTCTCGCACCCGAAGCGAGAATCATACCCCTAGACCAACGAGCCGATTACAATTTCATATTCCGATTCACGCTCACCAGAAAGGGGAGCTCTCTGAGGAGAAGATATTTAACCGGTTTGTACAGAGAACTAGAGAACTCATTTGCTACTCTGGACTCCGTCGACTGCTTCCTGACCAACAAATTTCGTCTTCAGTCCATCATATATGAAAGTCTCATCTGTTGAACATTTTCAGTTGTCAACCTCAGCTCAAGTATGGGAAAACTTACAGTCGACATTTCCTTTTTAATATATTCTGTGAAATTTTGTTTTTACTAATTCTTATATTTTACGACAGGAAATTGTTCGTGTATAAAATGTTATAGGTAAGAAATGCAGACTGTTTCTTGAAATTAAACTATCCTCTCAAATGTCAGAAGCAAGCATGCAACCTTGCTTGAATCTTCCTCTCAAAATCGAGATTAGCAACATTAACATAAACAGAATGGGATTGCAATAGTGGCTCCGTCCGTAAGAGCACTGGAATAAATATTTAAAAAACTCGGGCTCGTCCGGGATTTGAACCCGGGACCTCTCGCACCCAAAGCGAGAATCATACCCCTAGACCAACGAGCCAGCTGTTCGATATCGCTGATTCCGGGGTATAAAACCCACGACCTCGTATCGTCTGTATCCTGGATCCTTGTGCAGCGGCATTGCCTGCTGGCCGGAGGACCACCATAAAAGAGATTAGCCAACTGAGTTGATAAAAATACTCCGAAAATGAAATTTCAAGGAAAGAGGGATGTGAGGACAGGCCATAAAACTCGGGCATTTATAAATAAAAATTCCCCTTCGTCAACATTAGTGCTCTCATTTGTCATCATCGGCAATGACTCTCATCTTATGAAACTCATTACACTTTGACTCTTTGAGAGTCTACCGCGTGCACAAGGATTCAGGATATCGACTATATCTGCGATGAGAATGTCCGACTCGATCGCATTACATTCCCCTGTAAAGATTTCGAGAGCGTCGGCGTAGAACTTCCATGAAATCAGTTTTTAATTTGGATCGTGGGGAAGTTGTAGCCTCTTCTGTTCTTGGCGCAAGAGGGACATGTGCTCGGAATCGGATGATCTGGAGGGGGTTAGTGTGGCGAGAAGATTCCTTCGTAATTGTTTGGAGCAGAACGTCTGTGCCAAATCTGATACGTATTCATTTTCTCCCTGTCACCTAATGGGGTTGGGGTGACAATGATTTTAACCATGGAAAGTTTTTTTTGCGGTGTTTTCCCCGGCTTTGTTCCTATTCAGCACAGTTCCATTTTGACATTTAATTCTCATCTGAGATTTACTCATATGCCTCTGTACTCACATCGGAGAGTAATAAACCGTTTCCATAGTTTCAATATTCCCAAGCGTGATCATAAGGGGTTGGAAACCTCATTTAGTTTCACGACATCGATAACATGAGAAGGAGTCGGAGCAGCAACCCAAATCCACAGTCCTATAGCCAACGTGAGTCTTCATCGACCTCTTGTCGGTAAATACGAGAGAAAATATCAGTTGGTATCGGTCCATTTCAGCTGTACGCGTGCGAGCAAAAGAGAAAAAGACACCGCAAGTACAGGAAAAAGAAGACCGCATGTCCTTACGCAACACTCCATGATAGGGAAGTTTCTTCATCCACATGCCGTTATCTCTCGTGGTATGATGCCATAGTCTACAATTAATATGTTATATTTCCTTCCTTTCTCTCGGTTGGCTCGTTGGTCTAGGGGTATGATTCTCGCTTAGGGTG